TTAATATTTAAAAGAAAGCTTAGATCATAAACTTTCTTTTGAATAATAAATCATTAAGATAGCTTTAAAATTCATCGTAGTGAAAGTTAAGGTATTGAATTTTTTTCAAATGTAGATTTGTTTGATTTCTATTGACGGCAGCCCATATTAGTTTAGTTGGTAAGTATAAAGATCATTTATTAATCAGTTCACAAATCAAGATCATAAACACTTACTTACTATTGCATACAAATTACTTTATTCGCATTGATTTAGCCGGCAAGTAAAAGATCATTTAAGTTCTTATATGAAAATCAAATTATCCATCGAGATCTTGTAAATATAAAAATTTGATCTGTGAAATTAAAATTACAAACCAATTTCACAAGCCAATATCATAAATGCCTACTTACAAATCATTTTATTTACATTGATTTAGCCGGCAAGTAAACGATTATTTATTATGATAATCCAAATTCACAAGTCAATATTTACTTGTCATTATATACAGATCATTTAATTCTCATTAATTTATATAGTAAGTATAAAGATTTTTCTTTATTATTTAGTAGAGTTAATTTCGGTAAAGCAATTTTACAAATCAAGATTATAATACCTATTTACTACTGCATTAATAATAATTCTATTTTTTGTAATTGTATCCTAAATGACACTATAATGTTAGCATTATTCAAAATTAAGATTTCACTTGAATACATGTCCAGTATGTTTGGTATGTTTAGTCTATACGAAAATTTATAATGAAGGTTGTTCTTGCCAACTAATAAAAAGAATCTAAATATAAGCTTTCATAATAAATATATTACATGAGGAAGTACAAATAAAAAAAAATTAAATGGACAAAAATTTATTAACTAGACTAAAGAAAATTTTAACTCAAGTTATAATTCAAAACAACAAAGTTTTTATTAATATTTGTAAAATCGTAGTAAATCTATAAAAGTATAATATTTATTAATATATATAATATATATAAATTATTATGAATTTTTTTAAAATATAAAAAAGCAAATTATTGTGAGTCAGATGAAAATATTGAAATAGTTATCTAATAACTAAAGAATCTTTAGCTTGTTCATCTATTGCAAACATCTTAAAAATGCCTAGTTTGTTTGAGGTAACTACTATTACATCTGAAATATCCAACTTATCCGAAGCGCAAACTAAAATAGTAATATCGACATACATTACTTTTGTCATTAGCAAGATACGCAAATTATTACATAATTGAAATCAAACTGGATTTCTTTATTTATTTCTCTGCCTTTATATTATATTCAATTATATTATTTAAGCTGTTTCTCTCAAACTTTCTTATACTTCTTTTAAACTACATTATACCTTTTATTTTAATCAATTGCTAATCACGCTATATTGATGCATCTGACTACTATGATTTGGAATTATAAATCGATTAAACCAATAGACCAATAGACAAATTATGAATAGACATATTGTCTAATTAAATTTTTAATTAAATAGAATTGTTTATCCTCAACCGAATTGAATAGACATTAGGCAATTAGCCATAGGCAAATAGACAATAACATTTTTGATTAGACTATGTCTATTCACAACTCTGCTATATTCAGTAGAATTAAATCAATAAGTAGATGATATTATTTAATATCTATCCAGCCAACTTTATAAATCAGATTAAACTTAATTTAGTTTAAAAATAAAGTTGTGTATTTTATTTGAAGTGACAAAGTGACTCAACGATATATTTTTGAGTATATAAATTTATGCATAATAGATAATATTCAATTGTTCAATTTTAATAATACACTATTAAAGCAATCATAAAGTATCCATCCAAAAAAAAAAAAAAAACCCCACCGAAACAGTACCGAAACAAGAAAGGTTTAATTAATTCTATTAACATTATCAGCTGGAACAACAGAATAGTTTGCTTTACTATCGCGAACCATTTTATCAAAATACCATCTTGCAGGCATAGAGACCAACTAAATATATAACGGAGTAGAAATATAAGATTTGTTAAATTAATTGCAATAACAACAATAATAAAACTGTAATTTAATAATTAACCAACCCAAGTAATGCCACATAATAAACCATCAAAGAATGCATTATTTGATGGTGAAATTCCTATATTATGTTAAACAATATATGCATGTAAATAAAATTTTTAACTTTAATTTTAACACAATTCCAGGGAAAAAAAATTATTAATCGTACCCAAAGCTGAAGCTCTCATTGCATCACCAATGATGTCAGAAGTAATGAAGAAGTTGCCTTTACATATGCCTATGTTATAAATTAGTGCATTAGTATAATTAACTTGATGGTATATTCAAGAAAAAAAATTATTTTATCACCTTTATACAAAGCTTTGGCAGCATTCTTTGGAGTTAGTGCATTGTGGCCTTCGATATCTTTAGTTATTTTTGGTTTTATTTTATCCTATAATGTTGTGAAGTAGGAATATTAAAACAAAATAGTTAAAGTCATTTGATATAAATGTGATAATACCTCTTCTCTATAACTAGGTGTATCAATCGTGCCAGCAAAGTAACAGTGTACACTAATATCGTAAAGAATTAATTCATGACGCAGACACTCAGCCAAGCCTATTTAGCATAAATAAATTTGATAATTATAATTATATTGTATATATTATTATAATACAGTTAATACCTTTTAATATAAAAAAAAAAACAATAATAATAATACAGTTAATAATCACCTCTAAGTGCATGCTTTGTTGGAGCATACGAAGAATATCCCAAAAAACCACAAAGTCCTGCTACAGAACTAACCATAACAATCTTGCCCTTTACACCTTGTTGAGCCATACGTTTTGCGGCCTCCTACATTAATACATAATACAAAAAATAGTAAATATGGGTATAAACTAATTAAGTGGATTAACATAATTGAGTTTACATGGGTGGTATATAAGGCCCCGAAATAATTAAGTTGCATAGTTTTCTCATATTCATCTATTGGACGTTCTATGAATATACCTGCTAATGAAATACCTGCAAAGTTACAAGCAAATAAAGTCAGTTGAAATTTTAATTATTTATCATTATAATCAAATTAAATTTATATTTCAATTAATTAATTACCAGCATTGCAAATAATTACATCAGGTACTCTTCCATCATGCTTTGACGAAGCTTCATCAAGTGCACGAATAGAATCATCATATTTTGATAAGTCAGCTGAAACCACATTGAATTTCAAATTTTCATAATCTCCATGAGATTGAGCTGCCTGAGGTCATATTAAAGATCAATACGTATAATAATAAGAACAAAAAAAAAGAGGATGACAGAATACAATAAAAATATCAAAAATTATAATTAAATAATTACTTCTTTAATTTCTTCTAGGGCAAGGTCCAAGTCACCTTTTCCTCTAGCACTAATTGTGACATGTGCACCTTTAGAAGCCATTAACTTGGCAAACTCCTTACCAAGTCCTTTACTGCCGCCCGTAATATAAATATGCTGATTGTAGAGTAATCAATAATTTTTTTTTTATAAAAGAGAATTGATATGTATCCCTGTAAATTAAAAATTTTTTAAGCTTTGAGAGAAAGTATCTCAACAACCACCAGGCCGAATTCGATAAACTTTTTTTTATTTGAATTCTATAATCTCTAGTATTCAAATAAAAAAGTTCATCGGTTTAACATGGTGATTGTCGAGTGATTATATCTCGACAACCACCAGGCCAAATCGATGAACTTTTTTTATTTGAATTATATGAATCTATAGTTCAAATAACAAAAAAGTTCGAGAGGTTGGCCTGGTGGTTATGGAGATACCTTCGTACCAAGTTTAAAAAAATTTAATTCACAGGGGTATTTGGGGTCAATCCCCCCTCAAAAAATAATTATTCAGTATTTAGCTGTTCTTTTAAATGGAAGGAGCTTACCTTTCCCTTAGGTTGAAATTTATTCATTCCCAGGACTTTTCTCAAGAGAGTATTAGCCATTATATAACCTACAGAGAGTAATAAAAATGTGCAACAATAGAAACTACTGGATGTAATTCACCAGATAGGGTAAATTGAAGAATATAATCTGTTAAGGACCACATTGAAAACTTTTGGATTTTATTTATGTTTTCATATGATCTTGGTTTACAAATCCGTGTCTGTTAAAACAATCTGACTGGTTGATTGTTATCGGATTTTCATGTTAATCGTACGTACTTTTTATATTATATATTAAAAAAAAATCGTTATTTTTTATTTATTACTGATGAACTATAATAAATGAAAGCTGCCAGAGAACCCATTGTTTTTATTTATCGGATTTGGCTTTTTAAAACTCGATATTAACATCATACGTTTAACTTACCATTTTCAGTCTTTTTTATCTCGGTGTGCTAACTTTTTCTTATTCAAGGGTTATTTTTAGCAAGAATTCCAATATGGTATGATCTTACAACATATCGAGTTAACCTTCATTGTAATCATTATAATTCGAAAATGAACATATCATAGGTAATTAGGTTGTAATTAATTTTTCGGAACTGGCAATAAAACCCATTGGATTAAATCATCAAACGAATTGAATTTATTTTTAGATGGTTTCAAATATTTAATTGAAATATAAAATAAATATAGGTGGTATCCATAATTTACATTAAACCAGTATTGTTATAGAAATCTTAAAAATAATACAAAAATAATACAAAAATAATACCATATGGTATTATCATCATCCCTCCCTATTTTTATACAATACAGTACTGGTTTAATGTAAATTATGGATGCTGCCATAAAGTATATCAAATAAATATTCCTGAATTTATTCAGTAACTATTTAATCTCAAAAACACTATATCTACTACACTGATTATTTTAATAAGTTTTAAATCCCAAGTCCCCAATTTATTATTTGATTCATACTTTCCTGACCGCCTAGTACAAAAACAGTACCATTTATTAATTATGTTCTCACTATTTTTACAAATACTCGATTGTATATTTATTTTCTGAATATATATTTAATATTTTGTTTTTGTTACTTCGAATTTTCTAACGGGATGATGAATTGATGATCATTGATCGAAGGCTGATTATTGGGTATCATTTTGGAATTATATTTATACAACATAAACTTGAGTGGTTATTTTAAAATGCACAGATCTTTTATGTTTACTCAACCGGATTAATGCGAATAAAGTTAGATTAATGAATAATTTCATATTCACTTGATTAGGTTAATGCGAAATTACTGCAAGTTGCAGTATAATACTGTACTAAAGGAAATAAATAATCTATTTCAGTTAAAATAAGTTATTTAAAAAGTTAATTTTATTTTTCTAATTAGGTTCCGAATATAGCTATATATACGTATATATTATATTTGACATTCGTAATTCCAAATTCGGTTTTTATATAAAATGTTATGATAATGATTAGTGAACTTAAATATCTAATACCAAATGAGTGCGGCTAAAAGAAAACATACACATTTTTGTGCGAATAACATATAGCTAATTATTTTAGATTGTAAAATATGTTATTCGGAGTTATATCAATCAGTTGCACAAAAATGTGTATGTTTTCTCTTAGCCGCACTCAAATACACTTTATTATTTGGCATTCGTAATTCCAAATTCAATTTTTATCTCCGAAATATGTTTGACATTCGTAATTCCAAATTCGATTTTATCTACAAATATGTTATTTTGAAACATCCTATCGCTATATAAAAATTCGCGAGCTTTAAATAGCTTATTTAAAATAACTGAGTAATGAAGATTCTTTATATGTACTCTGTGCTATCTTAAACTATGCCGTTTTATACAGTATAAATGTATCATTTTTTTCTTGCCGTCACTCATTTAATCTAAAATCAGGTATCTGATCATTAATTCTGGAATCCACATTACACTAAATTTATTTATTGGGAGGTCTCAAGATTAACAAAAAATTGCGGGTTATAACATAAATAGGATTTTCAAACAGTGTATTTGCTATATCGAATTATAAATCGGAAAAATAAAATAGGATTTCTTAATTTTAATTTTGAAATCCCAATTCATATTAATTTATTAGGTTTAGAAACAAATATTTGAAATATTTGAAAGGATGTTCTATAGAATAGGTGGGCAATATAAAAATAAACTCCGCTGATGATTAATAATCATTAATGGATATTTAGTGGAGTTGCGGAGTTTGCGGAATTTGCCCACCTATTCTATAGAACATCCAATAATTTTGTTATTAAAAGTGTACTAAATAAATGGGATGACATGAAATGCCACCTGTAGCACTAGCCAAGGACACGATGTTTTTTAATGCAATTCTTGACAAATACATTAAATCACATAATTGCTAATAATTGATATGAAAATATAGCTTAAACCACATAAATTCCGTGTCCATGACACTAGCTCATTAAATATAATAAGTTTATTTGATGTCTAATTTAAATTTTTGAATGAATCAAAAATTCCAATTTTGCTTAACGTAATACGTAATAACCTTGGTGGCGAAGCTGCCCACATTGCTACGTTAGTTTCATAAAATTTACCCCTGATCTACATGACAAATTGTGTAACAGGTACACGTATCTTTAACTTTTTATTCGATAATCAATGTGAATTGGCGGAATGTAAAACCTCCCTCTTTAAAAAGTCATGAGCATCATGAGAATCATGCACATCATGCGCATTTTTGCATAGTGCGTACGTATGTCATAGGTATTTTGCCCATCTCTAACCCTAACCAATGTTGAAATATCATCCTATTTGGACGTGCCTAACTATTGATAAGCTATTATTCAGAAAATAACCAATGATAACAAAATTTTACTTTCATAAATGGGAGTTCCGAAGTCTTACATTTCGATTATTTGCTATTCATAATCGGTTAGTTGATTAAAACAGTCAATTCCCTGTAAATTCTTCTATGGATCATATCATTCACCGACAATCCATAGACAACTTAGTTCACAGACAACTACTTTACAGAATGGACACGGAAATTATGCAATTTTGGTTTAGTTTATGTGAACAAATCATAGCAATTTTTATCGGCGATAAATTTATCGACGTTAATTTCATGGACAGTTTATTTCATTGATAGCTCATTTAATTAACAAGTTTTTTTTTTAGAAATTACATTTATCTTAACTCTAATTCTAAACCTGACCCTAACAACAATGACCAGAATTTACTTTGACTGTGAAATGAGCTGTCGGTGAAATGAACTTGTCGATGAATTAATCGTTGGTAAATTAATCTTGTCTAAATTAATTGCTTGTGAACTAAGCAATGAACAGAACTTCTTTCTATAGGTACATTTTACATGCACAATTTATTTCTATAGGTGTGCTTCACATGCACTTTCTCTTTATAAGCGCGTCATTATTTGATTTGATCAACCTACTCTATATAACTTATATAGACTATTCTCTATAAGTCACATCTATAAGTGTACTTTTCCCTAATAATATACACTTAATTTGTTTAGTATTGGTTGAGTTTGGGTGGTCCTTAAAACTGCTTTTGCGGGATGATAAAAAACTGCTTTTTGGTCTATTTTAAAGTTTATTGCTTTTATCTTATGTGTAGGTCATTTTTTCTTAAAAAAGGCATTTTTTTAAAAAAGACTAGGGGGTGCTGGTTAACTTTATTTAGAAGCCAGATATTAAGTTACTTAGAGATATAGTTGTGGAAAAATTTTCTTCTTATTTCTATTTTGGTAAAAGTGATCTGTGGAAAGAGTATTATACTTTAAATAATAATTTAAATAATTAAATATATAATAAATATTTAAGATAATTTGCTACTAAAGAGTATAAATTTTTTTAATAAAAATTACAAATCTTTATTAGATTTATTATAAAATTAGAATGCTAAAAATTTTTTACAATAAATAAATTCAAATGATTATATAGTTAAAATACAGTATGCTCCAAAAGTATGTATCAAGAGAAGAGAGACTGTGAAGAACCTAAAGCCTAAACAGACTGATCTTTTTAAGTTGCTAGCTGGAAGTAGAAAGAGATCAATAAAGAATCTGAAAAAGAAGAAAGTCCAAATGTGGGTACCAGAGTCATTGTGAACTCTTCAAGAGTAGAAGTATATAATGGTGGCTAATTAGAAAAGTAGTAGCTTAAATGATTGTTAAATAGTAATATCCTTAAAGGATGGGTGAAATATAAACATAGTGTAGCAGTACTATATACTAGTTAGAAATAAGTTACAGAACAAGCAGATGAATATATGTGTAGGACATATATTGCTCTGTTAAGATTATTTATAGATAGCTTAAATTAGTAAGTTTTAGAGTAGGCTAGTAAATTCATTGATATGTAGCTTGGGCACAAAATGCTCAGCTATATTGAGTTAGGAGTTCTTATTGATTTGAAATTAGGTTATGGTTAGAGGGTTTAAATAGATAACTTCATAGTTTGGGTTATAGATATAGTAGATAGTATAAAATCTTTGAATAAACTACTTAAATTAGGTACCAAAAGTACACATGTGGCTTAATGTACTCTTACTATAAGAGAATGAACAGAAATCAGATAATTTGTTAGGGTAGAGAGTTGGCATTCAATCAGGTTTATATACTATATATATTGTAATATTGATATATAATTATCTTGATCAGGTGAGGGGTAGAGAGAAAGACTATATAGTAAATTGAAATCATTTGATTTCTGTCCCTCTTCTAACTAAAATTAAACTTCTAATAAAATCTCACCAGACCTAAGAGGTCTTCTTAATATTAAAAAAAAAAATCATTATCTAGATTTTTAAACTTAAAAATATAGAATTTGTAAGTATTATTTTATATATCTTTTACAAATTTCTTCAATTTTGTTTAGTTTTCTTTTTTATATATAATATATTTGATTACCAATTATTATAAAATACACCTATCTGAATTCGAACCGGAACCTGAGATTGGAGAACTGTAGGATCAGGTCCTTTAGTGGGGGACACACCAGCTGAACTGCCGGTTTAGAC